AGCATAGTTGGAGGCAGTGAGCTGGGTAATGGAGAGGGCAGCAGTGGTGATGTCTTCACTCATGTTGGCAAGACACAGATGCAATGGGTGAGTTCTGGGGCTTCTGGCGACAAATATAGGGCTAGAGAGCGAGGGATAGGTCCAGGAAGTATGGAAAATTGCGCAGAGGTGGATGACGTGGCAAATGACGTGTCCAGAGAGTCCTAAGGCGCGGGGCTCATAACCTGTTAATATATCCCAATGCTCAGCACTATGTGCACAGAGTCAGTAACTAAATTGTTGTCTATGTAGTTTTACACACCTATGTGCACAGAGTCAGTAACTAAAGAACAAGATACTCTGTGCACAGTAAAAATGCGAACACTGAACAAACAAAGAACAACTGATGAAAATAAGTGAACACATCATTAATATGGAAGGTGGGGGACCTGGCAATTAGTCTGAGGTGCACAGGCACTAATAGCAACAGGATGGTGTCTCCATCATCTTGCCTGTTTTTGTGGATGATATGACTCTTGCTTCGTCTTCTGAAGCTGCCATAGACTCCTTCATCTCCCAACTTAGCCAGCACTTCAAACTGCGAGATCTAGGACCTACCACCCAACTCCTGGGCATCAAAATTGACAGAGATCGCCCCAATCGCTCGATTTCGCTCTCCCAGCGCCAGTACTGCCTGGATTTACTGGAAAGATTTGGCATGGCTGACTGCAAGCCACTATCTACACCCATGGAGCCAAATCTTCGCCTCTCTTGCTCCCAGTCTCCCCAGGATGCCTCAGAAATCGAGAAAATGCGCCAAGTACCCTATCTCTCTGCTGTAGGTGCTCTGATGTACCTTGCCACCACTACCCGCCCAGACATCGCCTATACTGTCGGAGTTCTGGCCAGATTCAACTCCAATCCTGGCTGGGTTCATTGGCAGGCTGTGAAGCACCTAATGCGCTATATCAAGGGTACTCTGGACTATTCCCTGACCTATTCTCCTGATCCTTCAACCTCTGAGCCCTTCACCACCTTCTCTGATGCAGATCATGGTGGCTGCAAGGATACTGGTCGCTCTACAGGTGGATATGTTGTCAAGATGGGCACTGGTGCAATCTCCTGGTGTTCCAAGCTTCAAAACGTCGTTGCTCTATCTACCACTGAGGCAGAATACATAGCAGCTGTCCAGGCAGGCAAGGAGATCAAGTGGCTTCGAAATTTACTCTCTGAAATCGCTTCTCCACTGTCTTCTCCCTCTGTGCTGCACATGGACAACCAATCTGCAATCTCTGTGGCCAAGAATCCTGAACACCATGGCAGAATGAAGCAACTTGATCTCTGCTTCTACTGGCTTAGAGATGCAGTCCAGGACAACCTCATTGCGCCCACCTTTGTCCCCACTGATGCCCAAGCTGCTGATCTGATGACCAAACCACTGTCCAAGGCCAAGGTGATCAACTTCTGTCAGATGCTAGGACTAGGTGCATCAAGTGGGAGTTCTTAATGTGCAGAGGTGCACAATCAGGGGGGAGTGTTGCTATTAGTGCCTGTGCACCTCAGACTAATTGCCAGGTCCCCCACCTTCCATATTAATGATGTGTTCACTTATTTTCATCAGTTGTTCTTTGTTTGTTCAGTGTTCGCATTTTTACTGTGCACAGAGTATCTTGTTCTTTAGTTACTGACTCTGTGCACATAGGTGTGTAAAACTACATAGACAACAATTTAGTTACTGACTCTGTGCACATAGTGCTGAGCATTGGGATATATTAACAATATGTTGTGACTGTTTGTTTTCCCTTGTTTACCATTTTTGCGCACTTAGCAGTTGTATGTGCCCAGTGTATTTTCTCTTCAGTCTCTGACACTGGGCACAAGGTAATGTCACTACTTAGCTGTTGAATTCAGTCTCTGACACTGGGCACAAGGCCTTAAGGCTGGGTAAATTTATCAACATGTCAGTCATGATGACTTTTTTGTCCCACCATCCTTGCCATCCTGCAATGCTCACAAGAAAATGAGACAATGGCAGCAGTGGTCATCTGAAACCATCCCCTCACTTATTGAGCCCTATCTTGCATATCAATGGCTCTCTAGAAATTTCCAGCACTGCATTGACTATGAGTGACCAGAGTGTAGTTGTGTTTCTCAACAGTTGAAGGTTCTTTGTGTTAGTTTCAATGGTAAGATTTCATTGCATGTGTTCCTCTCTACTTAGAAATATGTCTTGTGCCAGGTTTGCAAATGGTTGATCTCACTGTCTGTCCATGTGCACCAGTGGCACTTCAGCTCCTGCAGATGGGGTACTTTCCATCTGTGCCACTGGGGCCAACCCTTGCTGTCAGTTTACAGCTTCTGAGTCTGGTCAGGCAGGTCTTTATGTGCATGCCCCCAAACATTTCTGCATGGTGCAAGTCCCTTGAAGCATATCTTGCTAGCATGGGCTACAAGGTAGACATAAATGTTTGTGTCTGAATTCTGTCCCAATGATTATATTCTGTATCCACTGTTTTCATTTATGTTGTGATTATGAGACTACAGTTTTGTGTATGTCTAACCTATTGGGACTTTGTGTTTGTGTCTAATGAATGATTGCACTGTGGTTGTATGAATGTGCACATGTCTGCAGATCTGATCTTGTGCTGTGTTTATCAAGTCAATGCATGCTTTTAACTATTTCCATCCATATCTATTAATGATGTTTGCTAATGATACTTACAGGAAGGTATACATTGAAGGTTTAGTAATGCATACCACTGGTATTGCATCCTGGAAATCTCAGTTGATGAATATGTTCAACAACACCTGGAAAGTGCTGCAACCCCACCAGCTGACATCCTCCCTGCAGTTCCATCATCCTCTCACCACCCTCCAGATGTCTCAATTTCAAGGACATGGCCTTTGGAATACCTATGAAAGTGTTGTCCATTGTGCTTTGGTAGTCACAACTGGAAAAATAATAATAGGTATGTTTCTTGGTGCACATACATAATCTTACTAAATAGTCTTGGGTCCTAGCTCCTCTGATCCTGACGCAATTGCTTGCATTGATGCTTGCTTTACCCAGAAATGTAGAAGAAGTCAACAGGATGATCCAGTAAACCCTACAGGTTCAGTTTTTCTGTCACAAGAAGACATTGATACTATGGAATGTGAGGTTGAAAGTTTGAGAAGGACAAAGGCATCAATGCAAAAGAGGAGTGGTCAGTCTTCTAAGAAGAGTTGTGGAGATGAGGATAGATTTGAGTGGGGTATGAGGATACCACCATCAGTCCTCAAGGGTTGTAATGAATCCTTCACTGCAGCTGATGAGAGATGTCAGAAAGTGAGCTTAATCATTTAACCTGTCTGCAATATTCTGATGGTGGTATAGGCAAGTACCCAATTCTTTTCAGAAACTGGAGTTATGGCCCTACTCTGTTGTCATGATTGTGTTATTTACCTTGCCAACATGACTTCATCAGGGGAGAAGCAACACTATGCACTTGCCCTTATCAAATCATTATTCAGTCACCTCCCTGATGATTTTCACATTGGGCTGTTATACGACATAGGCTGTCAGCTTGAACAGAGCTGCAGAAAGTGGGGCTACCTTGGGCCATTTCTGCCCCAAATTTCTTTTGCTATATCAGTCTTTCATGCCTTTGGTCATCAATGGGCTTGCCAGCTCATCTATCACCCTTGGAAATGAGAAGGGTTTGGACTTTCTGATGGAGAGGGTTGTGAGCGATTTTGGAGTTCAATTAAGCCACTAATACCATCTCTGCAAGTTTCTGGGGTATGCAGTTAGTTGTGTCACAAAATGCAGGCTAATATTTTATTCAGTATCATCAATGCCTCTTTGTCATTGACTCCCAGGTGCACTATCTTGACATGAAGAGTCTTACTGGTCTTGGCCAGTGGCTTTTGCAGTGCTGGAACCACTGTCAAGAAAAAAAGGCTTCTGCAAAAAAGGGTCTAAGAAGATCTGGAATCAATATTCAGACACTTCAAGCTGAATGGGAGGCTCAGGTTTTGGTACAAACCAAGCCAGCATCTTGTAAGCTTCCTGTATAAGTGATTCCTCTTGCTGTGAGCTGACAGTAAATTAAGGGTACTCTGCAAAAGCCACAGAAAATTTTATAATGCAAATGATGGCAACTCAGAAATCACTGGAACAGAGCTTTCCAGGCTCCAGAATGGTTCCTCTCTTCAGGCTTGTGGTTCTTCCTCTTCTAGATTTATACATTGATTGAATTCAAAGCATTCAGCTGTGTATGCATGCATTGGCAATCAAGAAGCATATCTGAGACTGTCTGTGTCAATGAAAGTTTGAATTAGAGAGACTAGAACGGTCTTACCACCAGACAGTTAGTGGTAAGTGGTGCTCTTAAGCATTTGCCTCTTGTGGTTGACTGCTTTGAAGAACAAAAACTTCAAATCCATGTGGAAGGATCTGTCCAGTGACAAGAACCTGGAATTGTCAAGCTTTCTACCTCCTACAATAATTTGTGTTTGCAGTTGGTAGCTCTCACCCACCAGGGGAAAGCCCCTCAAGGAGCCATAGCACCTATACTGATCCAAAGGGATGGTTTGTTCAAACTAGATGTGGATGATGATATCTGGCAGGATATTGGTCTTGAGGATGATTCTGTGGGATTGCCACCAGCTTGGTTAGCTGATGAAAGGGTGCACTTGGGGATCAGGTCACTCCTTGAGCTGAAGAGGTGTGAGGAGGAGGAAAGGAGGCTCCTGTATGAAAGAAAAAGCTTAATGGAATGGCACTCAGAAGAATGGAGATGGCTGGAGAAATGCAGAGTGGATGCAGGTAAGAGAGCTGTTGTGTCATTGAATGTATTAAGACAATTGAATGAAAATCAGGTGCAGATCTTGCATATGAACTGGACTGCAGGGCTTCAGCATTAGCAAGTCTGAGTCTCTTGTGGCAGAAAAAATTGAGGGACTTTCCAGGAGGTGCTGATGAGAGCTGGGAGGCAAGGGTTGAAGAATGGAGGAATATGGATTATGCACCACTCATCATGGACATGGACAGAAATGAAGAGGTGGGATGGGAGGACTTGGAATCTAAAAATGATGATGGGGATGATGAAGTACTTGATGATGACTTGCTGTGTGTTGCTGAGGAATTTGCTCTTGCAGATGAATATCACCAACAGTTCAGTGAGATGTCATTGACAGAGTTCTCATGGGCAGATGACTGGGAATTAGATGTATTAGATATGGATCTCCCATCATCTCCAAGTAAAAGACTGTGTAGGTAGTAAAGCTAGTCTTGTATGTCTCTGAAAAATTCATTAGATGAGTTCCCATGGCATCTGAGGTATTTTAATATACCAGGAGTATGCAGAATTGGGGGGATGGCCCCCAGTAACCTCCAAAGCTATGATGAAACATGCTACTGGCCTCAAGAAAGGGGGTGGGATGTCCCACAGTAGCCTCTGAAGCTATCATGGGACATCCCATTGGCCTATGGAAGGGGGGGGTGGGATGTCCCACAGTAGCCTCTGAAGCTATGATGGGACATCCCACTGACCTCTGGAAGGGGGGGTGGGATGTCCCACAGTAGCTTCCAAAGCTACCATGGGCCATCCCATTGGCCTATGGAAGGGGGATGGGATGTCCCCCAGTAGCCTCTGAAGCTATGATGGGACATCCCACTGGCCTATGGAAGGGGGGGTGGGATGTCTCACAGTGGCCTCCAAAGCTATCAAGGGGCATCCCACTGTCCTTGGCATGGGGCCCTGTGCCAATTGGATCATATAGCATCCTATGCCAGTGGGGCACTCACATGCTCATCCCCCACAATAGAATCATTTTGATACTATGTATGTATGTATGCACCTCAACTGTAAGTTGGAAACAAAAGTAGTGATCCTAGTAAGGAGTGACTGTTGTAACAAATGCAAGAACTTACAATACTATTGGGGGGATTCTGAATCCATTAACCTTTAGTAATTGACAGGTTCACCTTCATCCACATTGTACAATTCTGCAGATGGCATCACACAAACACACTCATTGCCCAGTAGTCTTCATATATCACTTAATATGTATAGCACATGTTTTTTTGGGAGGGTAATGTTTTCATCCACCCCCCCAGTTTGATAGGTATGCTCATTGTCTGGATGATGATCATAACAGCAATGTGTTTGTGATTGAAAGCTGGCATTCCAATGTGGGTGTGAGCTGCACTTTTGCAGTTGAGGACCCCTGACACCTAAGGCAGCCATGGGACAGCCCAAAATATATTACCAGGGGGCTGGGATTATGGGACATCCCAGGTCCTGCACACTGCAAATAGCCCTGGGACATGGCCAGATGTCCCTGGGATGACCTGGTCTGAGTGGCTTTTAGCTTGGATGATTTGTAGAAAAACTTCAGCCTAAATGCTTATGAAAATTGGTTACCTGAAGTGTCAATAGTGGACTATGGGTAGGGTTGGCCCAACTCAAACTCAGTCTTCTCATCTCAGGATAACTTGTCCATTACTTCTAAAAAAAACTAACTACATCATGGCCAGTGAGTGGGTATGATTTCTCTCCAAGTTCAACAACAAATGCCTCTTGGCTATAGATTGATGCAAAAACTTGTTGGATCAGTTCCTGCTGGAAAGGGTGCCAACCCTCCCACAGAGCATGGAATCACAGGTGGTCAGTTGGCACAATTGCCCTTCAAGCTAATGAACAAACTAATTTTCTAGTGAAAGATCCACATGACAATGTTCACATTAGGTGCCTGTGCACCTCAGAGTTGGCATTTCTCACTTTGTTATATTTCCTGTTGACCCTACAGACTAGTATTGGACACTTAGCTTCACTCTTAGTGTCCTTGGTTTGTTTTTGTTTATTGTTTATCTTTGTTTATCATTTTTGTGTACTTACTGCTGTGTGCCCAGTGAAGTTTTCCTTCAGTCTCTTACACTGGGCACTAGAGGCCTGAACTTGTGGGTAATTGAACAGGTTATGAGCCCCATGCCCTAGGACTTTCCCAATGTGCCATTTGCCATGTCATCCACCTCTGTGCAAATTCTTGACTGCCTCAGACCACATTCTTGCCCTCTGTCAATTTTTCTTTGCCCTCTCACCCTCCAGACTCACCCCATCCACCTCCCAATCACTCCTTTTGCCCCATTCTCACTACCATGACTGAAGAACACTCCCACTCATTGTTCTCAGTCACAAAACTCACTTCTTTGAACTACAACACCTGGAAAGGTGAAATGAAGGCCTTCCTGCACACTAAAGGCCTGTGGACCATTGTTAATGGTTCTGAAAAGTGTCCAGATGAGTCCAAAACCAAAGCTTGCTCTAAATGGGACCCCAGAGCAGACTGAGCAGCTGGAGAGCTCTACCTGGCACTTTGTAGTGAACAAAGGACCCATGTGGAGGCTGTTTAGGATGCAATAATCTACTATCTGTGTTATATCTCTGTTGCAATAAGGGCTTCAATGTGGGCATCAATTCTTCACAGATTGCATTAACACAGCACCCTCACCATACCCTCTTCATTGTGCAAATTTTGGAGAAAAACTCAGCCTTCCTTGAGGGGGAGACCATCCCCCCTATCACTGAATTTGCCTCTGCAGCATCCACTCTGCCAATGGATCTTGATCTCTGGCACAGAAGACTCACTCACCATCCCCTTATTGCAACAGAGATATAACACAAATAATAGATTATTGCACATGTCAGGGACATGCAGGACATTTGTACATGCCTTAAACTTGTATTCTAAGGTGTAAAACTAGGCCAAGCCCTCTATGGACCAGACACAAGTTCCAAACAGATTTCCTGCTCTGACTTTTTGAGGGATTTGACAACTACTTCTGCTTCCAATTGCTGCCTGTTTGCTTCCATGATCTCTGTGCATCAGGAGATGGTGTTGCAAGTGTAATACTCCAGTACTCAGCAATGCTAGGCCCTACTAGCACTTGGTGGTTAAACCACACCAAGTAAGCCAAGATATCTTGACCAAATAGCTTAGTGGTTAGAGCACCCAGTCAAAACCTGGGAGGTCCAGGGTTCAATTCCCTGTTTGGTTGCATTTAATGCAACAGATGGCACATCTGCATCTGGCCTTGCAGGGGCCTGTCTGACTCAAGGTGACTTCCAGGTGCTCCCAGGGACACCCTGTTTCACATTTGCAGATGCTGCATGGGTGGTTGTGGATCCATTATTGTTGGACTTGGACAAGTATTTGGCCCCAGGTCAATGTCAATTCATGTCTGGCTCACTCAATTCTGACAGAGCCTGCTTAACACACAGTGCAAACTTGTTAGCCATAACAGCTGATTCAACATGACCAAACTTGCCTTGTGTCTGCACTTCAGGGTGGATTTCAGCTTGCCACCTTTTTTTCTACTCATTGACCCCTCCTCAGTTGGGTGGTCAATGAAAGGAATGCTCTCCAATCCATCTTCATCCATGTATTCTGAGTAGTCCCATAGTTCAGTTGTGTACTTGGTCCCTGAGTGCAGATCAGGGTTTGCTGTGAATACAAGTTACAGTGGGCAGCTCACTATTCAGGGATGTTGTTGATTTCTTTGAATTGGATAGGGTGGGAAAATAAGTATCTTCATCAGCTTCATCATCAGAATCATGGCCATTGCTTTCCCTCCCATTATCATCAGTTAGTACTTTATTTTGTGGATGCTGCACTGTGGTCTTCACATGGGCTGGATGTGCAGAGGGTCACTTATGATGGGAACCATCAGCTGGTGGGGGATTTGAGTGGGAATGACAAGGGAATGGTGTCTTGGCATCATTTTGCCTCCCACCAGATACTTAATCCTTTGTCTTGACTGTGTCTCTACTTAGTGCTTCCTTGACAGCTTTCTGAAGTTGCTCCCCCACATAATGACAACTCCTGTGATTCCACCCAGGACTGTTTCTCCACCCTCCTATATTATGCTCTGTCTAAGATAATGTGCTGGCAGCAGGGGTGAACAGAATCATTAGTGTTGAAGAAATTGATCATTCCTGGTGCACAGTGTGAGGAATCCGCATTCCCTGGACACATAAGCCCCTATCATTAACCATTCCATGACTACTGTTACATCCGCTCCCCTCTCGCATTCACTGTTGTTCACATGCTACCTTCCCACGCCCTTGCTCCCTCTCACGCGATGCTATACCCGTGGCTGCTGTGCTCCGGTTGTTGTTTTTCCTTGGACTCTTTCTCTTATCACGGTCTCTATTCCTTTAGTGCTTGTAGTATACCCTTGGCCTCTGTTTTGGCCTGTCTTCTGTGTATGCGCTGTCGTGCAGCTTTCCCTTACTGTACCCTGTCTTACTTAGGTTCCAGGTTTGTCCGGACTATAAAGCCCTGTACTTAGGTACAGAATGATACCTTTTGGCACTTGGAAGGTCACCACAAGTTTCCTTTACACTTTGTCTATACTGCATGTCTCACATTCTGCCACGCATGAACTATGTATACTGCTCACACTGCTCGCATCACCAGTACTATTCTGCAGACCACGCCACACACATCACGAACCACTACTGCTACAAAGCACCAGGTCTCACCTTCTAGTCTCGACAGTCCAGAATCCCTTGGGACGAGCAATTTGTTCCCTTCATTTTTTTATTGTTGTTATCTAAGCCATCTAGCTCGTATTATACAGCTACTTGAACTTTTCCTACAACAGTGCCAATTGGATGTCTGTTGTTAGATCAAGGTAAAAGTGATTAGGACAAACCAATAAGAAAAATACAGAGAAACTTGGCATTTGCAACCAGTGTTCAATCGACCCAACTTTTAGGCCTGGTGCCCAGTGTCAGAGACTGAAGAGAAAAATACACTGGGCACACATTGCTAAGTGTGCAAAATTGGTAAATAAAGATAAACAGTATCACAATAACACACAACACTGAATGTGAAGAAAGCAAACATAGTGGCTTTGAATCAGTGCTGAAAATGATAGAATAAAGAAATAAAATGAAGAAAGAGGTGCAGAAGCACCATCATTAACAACCAGGTACTAACTCCAAACAATGATCCAGGTAACAATAACCTGCCCACTGCAGTGACTGAATCAAACTGAATCCCCATACCTCCTGTTAGGTCACAACATGCAAGGTCTCAATCTGATCCCCACCCAGTGGAGGTTTACCCCTGCAATCCTTGCAGGCCAAGATGGTTTATCAGCAGGTCTGGCATGTCATGGAGGTAGCAGAGCAAGAAATGAGCCCCATGTGTTCATATTAGGTGCCTGTGAATCTTGGACCACATTTTCTCCTTTGGTTCTATTTCTTTCTAATCCTACAGACATGTAGTGAACACCTGGCTTCACTCCAAGTGTCCTTGGTTTGCTTTTG